GCATGCACCACCTTGCCTGGCCATTTCTTGTTATTAGAGATATAGTAGTGCTCAGCCGGGTGTGGTGGTGCATGCCTGTGATCTCAGCTCCTGAAGGCTGAGGCAGGAGGATTGCAATTTCAAGGCCCCACCAGGGCAATTAGCAACTTAGTGAGACCCTGTCTCAAAATAAAAAAATAAAAAGGCTGGGGATGGAGCTCAGTGCTAAGGCCCTGGGTTCAGTCTCCAGTTGCCCCTCGAAGTTGTATATATTAGTCCACTGGGATATATATGAACAAGTCACAGCCCAGACATGCACAGCCCATTTCCTTGCTCTGCCCAGATATGCTGTGTGGCCCTGGGTCAATCACTTCTCCCCCCAGGGCCTCAGTTTCCTCATTTTTAAAATTCGAGGATTAGCTTGCTTCCTGCCTGCCAGCTCTGACACCATGGACGCCTGTCACACAGCAGGCAGCCTCTGGCTTCTATTCCTAATCCAGGAAAATCAAAGCTGCTTATGGCCTCAAATGGGAGCAGCATGCAAAGCACTCAGCACAGCACCTGAGAGTTAACCCCTGCCAGCCCTTGATCTGAGCGACTGTCCGGAAGACAGGGTCCTCCAGCCCCTGTTTGCTGAGCACCTGCTGTATGCAAGGCACTGAGCTAGGCTCACAGGATCCTGCAAGAGGCCACACAAGGCCCCTAACCCACAAGGCCCACCACAGGAGATGCACACTAGTCCTTTTTTTTTTGGTACTGGGGATCGAACTCAGGACCTTGTGCTTGCAAGGCAGACAGTGGCACCACTGAACTAAATCCCTGGCCTGGATGATATACAATAAATCAGTGTGAAGGAGGGCCAAGCGATGAGTGACAGGAAATAGTGGTGGAGAGCTGATTTAGGTTCAGTGGTGTGAAGGTGGCCAGGAGGAGCTCTCTAAGGAGGTGACAGCTGAGCTAAGAGCCAAAGGGAAAGAAAGAGCAGGGGGAGGGGGGAGCGGCTGTGCAAAGGCCCTGAGGCAGGAGAAGAAACAGTATGGAAAGGCAGAGAGGCCAAGTGGCCAGAGCCCATAGTCAGGGAGGTTGAAATTCAGACATGCAGAGTTTAGGGGTACAGTTTGCTTTCTGCCCTAAGGGCAAGAGAAGGGATTAGCCCTTGTGAATAAAAGGTGACAAAGCCAATTTACAGTTTAAAAAGCTGTCAACCAGGACCTCAGGGGTCCCTTGGGTGACTCTGAAAAGAGGCTGTGCTGGTCCCTGCCCCAAATCAGTCTGTGCCGCCTCCTGGCCAGATGGGGTGGGGTGAGCGGGGCCTGGGCTGGGAGGTGTCCCTGCCTCTGTGAAAGTCATGGCCCTCTCTCCAGAAAGGGCTCCTTCATCCCTCACAATTCCACGAAGCAGCCCACTGAGGCGCCCAGCTGGGAAGTTCCAAAGTCCTCTGACGCTGGGACCAGGGCCCAGGCGCCCCCACCCCCATGGAAATCGTCTTTGAAGTGGCCTTGGCCGGCTGAGGCTGGGCCACGCCCGCAGGCCACCAGGCCTGCTGGCTGCAGGAGGAAGGGAATCACAGCCGGCGGGCAGATTGCTGTGCCCATGGCAACGGTCATCGGAGGAGCGGGAGGAGAGGGCTTCCTCCCACCTGGCCTCAGGTTTCTGCCCCAGGGAGAATTCCAGAAAAGCCTCACTGAGAACCAGAGTAGGCAGGGTGGGGCTCCAGGCTGGGACCAGGGCCACCAGACTCTTGTCCTTGGCCTCCTTGTGTCCTGTCCCTGGGGCAGAGGATGCAACTTCATGTGGAACCTGCTGTGCACAGGGCAGGCTCCCAGAGGAAGACCTGGGCTCCCTGGCCCTGCTCAGCTGCGTGGCGCTGGGCAGGAGCCTGCAGTCTCTGGGCCTACTTGGATTCATGAGGACGGAGTCTACTGAGCTCCTGGCGCACCGCAAGTGCCGCCTAAGTGCACAGATGCTAGGCCAAGGACTCCCCGGCCCTCTTTTCCCAAATCCCTTTGCTCTGTTTTTCCTTCTTGCGAGGCAGGCAGCGGCACCACTGAGCTAAATCCCCAGCCCCTATTTTTAGATTTTGAAAGAGGATCTCACATAGTTGCCCAGATGGGACTCGAACTTGCAATCCCCCTGCCTCTACCTCCCTCCATGCTGGGGTTAGAGGCACCTGCCACTGAGCCTGGCCTGATGGAGCTTTCCATGTGGATGGATGTGGGTTTGTTGTCGTCCTGGCTCTGCTCCTCTCTTGGACTTGCTGGGTCACATGGTCACTCTGCCTGACATTTTGAGGAACTGCCTGACTTCTCCACAGCAGCTGCGCTGCCTCAGGTCCCCAGCAGCACACGCGAGGCTTCCAGCTTCTCCAAAGCCTCACCCACCCTTGTTCCTCAGGCTTTTAGAGACCATGTCATGAGGGTCAGCAGAGCTTGGCTTCACATCCTCCCAGGGGTGGCTCTCAGACAGGTGGCCTCTCAGTGTCCTTTTCCACAAAATGGTGTCGGGAGACGGCTTTGGCCTGCAGCAACTGTGTCGTGCTGTGAAGTGAAGCTCATGTGTCTTGTTTTTATAACTGGGTGTCCTGGGTACCATCGCGGTGATGTCTCCCTAGCACCTGGCAGCGGGCGTTGCATACAGAAGGTGCTCAGTGTGCACAGGTTCTCTGCTGCTACCCAAGAACCTCCCTTGGGGGAAGTGGCTGAGCCCACCCAGCCAAGTCCAGTGGCTGTGTGGGGTTCAGGAGTGGTCCCCGCTTGTGGTTCCATGTGATTCCCAACTTCCAAGGGCCTTGAAATCCTTCCATCCCTAAGAGGAAAGTGCTTCCTGTCTGTCAAGAGTCTTGTCCTTCTGGGGCTGGGGACTTTCGCCAGGAAAAATAATAGCTACCAGTGGTCCCTTCCTACGGGGCAACACCAGCTCGTATTTGCTGGGTTCCCTGAGCTCCTGCCTCACCTGCTCCTCCTACTCCACCCTTCAACCTGCGCAGATCTTCGAGTTTCCCAGTAACCCAGTGCACCCCACCTCCTCTTGTCAGTGTGATAACGTCTAAAGAAAAGTTCACTGCAGGGCCTGGTGGGCACGCTTGTAATCCTAGCACTCCGGAAGGCTGAGGCAGGAGAATCACAAGTTCAAACCACCGAGACTGAGCAATTTAGCAACATAATGAGATCTTGTTTCAAAATGAAGGAAAATACAAAGGGATAAGGAAAGAGGGAGGGGGTAGAGCCTTAACTGGAGGGGAAGCTCCTGGGTACTTAAAGAAGATATTTACCATCTCATTTTTTTAAAAAATGTGCTGGGGACCAGGGTCTCGTGCATGCTGCATGAGTGCTCTACCCTTGAGCCATGTCCCCAGACCATCTTAACCACTTTTAAGAGTACAGCTCAGTGGCATTATGAACATTCGTACTGTTGTGTGACTGTCACCGCTACCATCTCCAGGACTCAGCGTCTTGCAAAACTGAAATTCTATGGCCAATAAACAAGACCTCCCCATTCTCCCCCTCCCGCCAACCCCCAGCTCCATCACCCAGCCTTTTCGAAAGCTCCTACTAAGTGCCATGTGCCAGTCCTGCAGCCCAGAACAAGGCAGACCCGGAAGCAAGGTCTACTGCCTCATAGTGACGAATTTTTCAGAGGAGGAAACTGAGGCCCTGAGGGAGGCTCCTGCGCACAGGTCCCACCTAATGAGAGCCGTGAAGTGGGGGCTGGCTTGGTGCCACTGCGATGCCCCTTTCCCAAGGCTGGAGAACAGCCCCTCACCACTGCCCTCCCTGCTCCGGGCTCTAACCTGCCCCTCACCCCCGCTGGGGCCCAGCAGCGTCCGGGGACAGCCCCCTCCCAGCAGACAGGCTTTCCATCAGGGAGGTGCAAGGGCCTGTGTACATTCCTCACCACTGCCAGGGAGCTGCTTGCTCTGCTGGCGGCTGGGGCCACCCACAAGGAAAAGCTCCCCCCTTCCCTTCCTCCTCAGCCCCCACGAGGCTCTGAGGCCCACTCTCCTCTCTCCAAGCCTTGGTTCCCATCTGCAGCGTGGGCCCAGCAATCCCTACCTCAAAGCCAGGAGAGATTTGTTTGGCAATCTCTCTTTCTCCCAGCCATGCTGTTTTTTTTTTTTTTTTTTTTTTTTTTTTGCTGTTGTTGTTGTTTGTTTGTTTTTAAACATCCTGGGAGCTACCACGGAATTACATCCCAGACCCTTAAAAAAAAATTTTTTTTTTGGTACCTGCGATTGAACTCAGGACCTTGTGCTTGTAAGGCAGGTGGTGTCACCACTGAGCTACCCACCACCACCACTTTTTTTTAAATTTTTAAGGCAGGGTTTCACTGAGTTGCCCAGCCTCGTCTTGAAGAACTTGCCGTGCTCCTGCCTCAGCCCCCCAGATACCTGGGATTACAGGCTTGTACCCAGGCATATAAGTGAGTTAACTGAAGGTTTGTTTCTTTGTAAATATTTTGCATTGGAGCTTTGAACATCAATTGTGTTCAGGTTTTTTTGTTTGTTGTTTGTTTGTTTTTGTTTCTTCTCCCCCCTGCCCCCTCTTTCCAACAATTCTAAAATGTCACTTGGCAGCTGATGAACCTCCTGGGCGATACTGCTATTTGCAAGCCAGAGAGGAAGGATCCACCTTATTAACCAGAGTCAACTCAAATTAATGAAGTGATAATGACAAAAATGACCAGGGTCCCCCACCTCTGCATGGACCTAGTGCCTCCAGCGTCTTTGCTGTGGTTTGCATAACCCATTGGCATCTGGGGACGAGGAGGCACGGAGGGGAGGGGCGGGGTCTTACGTGGGGCAGGTTGACTCCGAGTCAAGGAGCTGCGTGTGGGCACAGAGTCCGGCTCTGAGCGCAGGACCCCTTCCAGCTGGGCATCCGACCAGCTTCAGCGAGGGGAGCGGTCTGTGAAGGTCGCCAAGGAGACCCAGGGCTGGGCAGATGTGGCTGCAAGCCGGGGCTACTTTTGTCCCCCAGTAGATGAAGACGCTTTGCTCTCCTCCTCTGTGCGCTCCAGGCTTAGGCTAAGCTCTGCACCCGCAGAGGTGAGAGACAAGCTCTCAGGTACTCCCTGAGGGACCGTCCCGCGACTCAGGAGCCACCGCTGTTGGGCCAAGGGCTCCGGAGAGCAGGAACCCACGCAGGCCAGTCTCTGAGTGGCGTCTGCGGAACGAATGAGTGAATGAATGAATGCGCCTTGTGCCTCGGAACCGGCCAGGACGCCTATCGCCAGGGGCAGAGGGCTCAAGATCACGGAGCAGGAAAGACCAAGCTGTACGCAGAGCCGACCAGAGCCCTCTCCAGCCAGGTCCTGCGCCTCAGTCCGAGCATCAGGAGGCCCATTTTCCAGGTGAGGAAGCGGAGCCGCTGGTCGC